TACACTATGACTCCCAAGCCCCAGACTTCATGCAAGAAGAAGCCCTCCAGAGGGAGGCTGGCGCAGCTGCCACCAAGGCGCGCCAACGCGGCGTAGGTCGCGACTCTCGGTGTCCGAGCGCGTTCGCGTTCGCCTAAAAGATTCGAACCCTGGGCCCCTTAAACCCTATAAACCCCAAACCCTAAACCCTAAACCCCGGGGTCCCAAGCCCTTTGCCCTTGGTGGCTGCACTTGACGAACGCAGTGCATCTGAAAAAGTTGACGAAGTCTAGAGGTCTTAGGGTCTATGAGGTTGAGGGTTGGGATGTCCCCCTTATACTCTAACAGTCCTTACAAGGGATTATAGTACCCCCTCGACTATAATCCCAATTTTACATGACTGTTCGTATCCCAAGTTTGAGGCTGCAACCCTTCCATCCTGCAGGCTCTCCTGCCCTTCATTGAACCCCAAGCTTTATGAGCAGAAACTCCACACCCGAAACCCTAAACCCTAAACCCTAAACCCTAAACCCTAAACCCTAAACCCTAAACCCCAAGAACCTGTCACGCATCAAGGCCTCGGGTCAACCTAAGCCATGGTTTCTGAGCACAAGAGGCCTCACAAGACTGAAGAAGCTTTACTAAAAAGGACTTAAGAAGCCCTAAATTTACATCTGAAAGGCTTATAAACACCAGGATGGAGAGGGTCACAGGTTGGAGCCAGGAATATTAAGGTCCAAAGGGCCCTCGGCCCTGATTAATGTCTGCCACAAGCTGAGCAATCCGTGCAAAGATCCCAACACGCAGGGTTTAGGGTTTAGGGTTTAGGGTTTAGGATCATCTAACCTCCTACTAACATCCTCAACATGCGTGACAATCTCCAACTCCCCAGATGCTTGGCAATGTCTTGATCCCGTTTCACTGCAGCTGGTCGTATTACCGAAATCATTGGGGCTGCTGGAGTTTCGGTTGTGCTTCAGTAGGCGGACATCTAAATGCCAAACAGGTTTCGCGACGAGGGTCGGTGGTGCGGCAGAGGGGTGGGCGTCACATAACCTGGCAGGAACCAAACCCTAAACCCCCTAAACCCCTTTTGACCCCGCGAGCTCAACCCCAGACCCCTAAAACCCAAAATGCCCAAAAGGGAGGCTCCTAGCCATTGTGTGGGGGCTGATCCGACCCTCTCCTTCTTTCACATGGCGAAAGAATCCAAGCCCAAACCACGTCCCCCGCGTGCTCTTGGCTGCGGTCAGGGTTTCGGGTTAGGGCGGTTAGGGCTCAGGTTTAGGGTTAAGGGAAGGCCTAGGGAAGGTCTTCCCACCCTAGCACACCCGGGGGTCTCAGAGATGAGAGCTGTCTGGAGGTGTCTCGCCGCTCTCTCTCTCTCTCTCTCTCGTTTTGTTTTCTTTTTTTGTTGTTCTCTCTCGCTCTCTCTCAGGTGTGAGGTGTTCAAGCTCATGATGTGGAACTTGATGAGGACAACTTCGAGTTATAACCCGGGGACTGGAGCCCAAAAGACTCAGACGTCCCAAGCTTCAGGATTCAGGATCCCAATGCTTGGGTCCCCAAATATCAGGAGTTTCTCTGTGCCATCCGACTTTAGCTGAGGACGGCCGTGTACCCCCCCTTATACCCCCCTTATGCCCCCCTTACTCGTCTTGAGCCCTCCCAGCGTGAACGCCTTTGCAGGCAGCGCAGCAGGTCACGGAAACGTTGGGGCCGTGGTACGGCTGAGAGCACATCCTTGGGCTCGAGGGGCGAGTGCTTCATATGACGGGGTGCTGAGTACAGGGTGGATAGTTGAAGGTTCAAGGTGTGGGTAACGAGGGCTGCAAACGGTGAGGACCCAGTAGCGCAGGATGTCAGGCTTCAGGCGGGTTATTTCAGGTCAGACTCTGTGGCCACATATTGGTGGCGCTTTGCTTGATAAGCTGATGGTAGCCCTGTGTGCAAAACGTTACACAAACAGTAATCGGCCGGTCCGATAGAACAGCTGAGACTCCGCCGATATCTTTGGACGGTTTGGCAGAAGCTGTGGTCGAGGTCCACGCACATATCCTTGGGTTTAGGGTTTAGGATTGAGGGTTTAGGGTTCGGGGTTCAGGGTTTCGGGCTCGGCCTTGGGGAAGAAGCAAAACCCTGAGGCCTAAACCGTGTAAACAGCATGTGCAGTATTCAATGCAAAATTCAGGTTGTGCTGAACCTGCTTCCAAAATCAAAAGGCATGTGCCTGGTGTTGCTGAAGATCTGACTTGTTCTGTGTGGCGCCAGGGCAAATGCCGTCGATCGAGTCGTGAGACGAAGGGCAAAGCTGCAGCGGACCGCAAACACCAGCTGGAGAGTAGTCCTCAGCAAAGCTGCTACTAAGGCCTAAGATTACAAGGCAAGCCCCCTCACAGGTTGCAACCAAAAACACAAAACCCCATAAACATCCGTAAGCACTAAACCCTGAGCGAAGGTTTCCGTTTGCAGCTTGTCATGCACCTCTTCCAAAAGTGCAGAAGCAAGACGAGGAGCCTACTCCGTCCAGAGCTGCTAGCATGTCGCACACTAATAATACTAAACCCTAAACCGTAAACCGTAAACCCTAACCCCTAACCCCTAACCCCTAAACCCTAACCCGAAACCTTTTTGCCCCAGACCCTAAACCCTATACCCTATAAGCCTACAAACCCTAAACCCTAAACCGCAACACTTGAAAAGGCCGAGGCTCCCCGCAGTTGTAGGAAAACGCTTCAGCAGTCTGCAGTGATTTCACGTCTGCCTGCTGAATCAGAGTTTCGTTGCTCGCGCACTGGACGTTGTACGTCCTGTTTGGGTAGGATCCAACCACCACCTCAGCAATTCACAGGTTGCTGAGTATCCTGGGCCAAAAAAGGTTAACCTTTCAATTATCTTAGGATCATACATAATTACCCCCAAAGGCTAAAAGGTTGCCTACTTCAGCTCTTGAGAGGATCAAAACCTTGCCAATCTAGCATCAGCTTGTAAGACTGCCATTGCGCTGGCAGACATCATGAAGCGGCACAACCCTTGAAACTTTTGATGGTTTCCGAAATCAGGATTCTACTCTTTTGGGGCTCGATTTGAGGGCCCCCCATATTCGGAAACCCCGTGTGGGCAAGGCACCCACTTCTTGCAGGCAGATGGAATTCCTGATGCGAGCGTGACGGCGTCGCCTATCTGAAAGCCTTCGCTGGCCATAAACTCTTGGCAGAGCTTGTATGAGAAGCAATACCTCAGTCCGGCGAAGCAAAAAATGTATAAATATAAATATAAATATCAATATAGAATCTAAATAAATAAATAATTACATACATATATATATATATATTATATTATATGTATATATATATATATTATATTATATATATAGGTAGAGCCTATTTTTCCTGGGTAGAGAGGGCTTAGGGTTTAAGGTTGTAGGGTTTAGGGAAGTTCAACAGCTCGGAGGTCATGGGCCTCTTGACAATGGGACAGCTTCTCGCGAAGCGGCTTTGAGTATCGTAGGGTAGTTACAAGGACCCTTAGCGTGGGCCCTTGCTTGGGGAGCCCAAACTATTGTATTATTACTCTCGTTATTGTTACTAATATTATTATAAAAATATGCTCCATACAGCCCAAGGGGCTTTATCATGAAAAATGTAACTAAATACAGGCCAGCTGGCTCTCCAAATAAATCCCGTCCCGGCTCTGGCCTGAACCCTGAACTGGGATGTTCCCCCTTTATTCTAGCAGTCCTTAGTATAAGGATTACAGTACCCCCCATGAGAATCCCTAGTAAGGACTGTTAGGAGAAGGGGGAACCTCCCAAACCCTGCAAATGAAACTCGTTCCACCAGGGCACATGTCACGGCTGCAGTCGCGGTGGCCTCGACACTGTGTAGTCGCCCCAGCGCGCGGCAGTAGCGCCAGCGCCTTAGGGGTTTCGTAGTGTGAGGTTGCTGCCAGCACTCTGCCACTCTGCGCTGTTGTTGGGGGGTTGTTCCGCTGGCTTTGCCACATGCTTCTGGCTGCCTCACAGAGCACCTTAGCTAAGTCGAAGACACCCTGTCTACCAGGATGGGCTATTAGGCCTTAGAATCCCCGGTCCTACTTAAGGTCTTAAGGTGCTGTAGGGTATGATTTGGGATGTTCCCTCTTATACTAGCAGCCCTTAGTAGGGTTTATAGTGGGGGGGGGGGGGTACTGTAATCCTTACTAAGGACTGTTAGTATAAGGGGGAACATCCCAAGGTGTAATAGCCCATCCTAGTAAGCTGGGAGGTTCAAGGCACAACAACGCCCACATCGAGAAGACAACACCAAGTACCAGCAAAACATATTACGAGTAGGGTTTTGACATTTGGGGGGTACTTGTTTTAAGTTCAAAAAAGTACTATGGCTCCTATAATGCGTCGTACACACGAACTTAACCCAAAGCCTCGTTCCAGAACACCCTTTCTCCAAAGGGTGCGTCTCCTTTAAATTCTGCTGCGGCTGCGGAAAACCAGCAGCAGGGCACCCTTTCTCCAAATGCTGGGGTGTTCTTTTGTTGCCACCCGCCAAGTAAACCAGCCACTCTCTCTCTCTCTGCCATTGCAGTTCAATTTAAGTTTTAGGATTGCGCTTGTAATGACCTAACCCTGACAACCCGAACCCCAAACCCTGAGTCCGAAATTCTCGGAACCCTCCAGCCAGATTGAAGTGGAACCGAAGCTACAAGATCTGTCGGGGGACTGCAAGGAGTGCCGGCTGCCATGGCCATGGCCACATTGTCAGGGTTTATGTGGGGAATCTGGGATTTGAGGGCTTGGCATCAGGGATCTAGCGGTTTAAGAGGGTGTCTCTTGCGAGGACTTGGGAGGGAAGATTCACGGCTCTGAGCTCTGTACAGGCCTTGAGGCTTTGAGGACTTGTTTTGGAGGGCTTCAGGAGTTTGCCCACACTGGTTTCTATTGTCACCTATGACAGGAGTGTTAATATAACAAAAAAACATGGTCGATCTGCCATGTCTCAACGCGTTGCTTCAGAGACCAGCCCAGCTTGGTTCGTCTTGAAGGGCATGAACCCCAAAGGGGTGAAAGGGGTGAATTCCCTGCGCCCCCCCCCCCCCCCCCCCAAAAAAAAAAAAAATAATATATATATATATATAAAGATACATACATATATATATATACATATATATATGTAAAAATATATAAAAATGTTTATTTATTTATATATCTTGCTATCTCAAACATGCATGTTCTGGAGTGCTTTATCGAACATGGCATAGTGCAACCTGCAAGCACGGCCCCCCATTCAACGATTCTTCCTTGCCCTTTGGCTTTGGACTATGACCTTCCGGTTTCGGGTTTAATTTAGGGTTAGGGTTATAGGGTTATAGGGTTATAGGGTTATAGGGTTATAGGGTTATAGGGTTATAGGGTTATGGGGTTATGGGGTTATGGGGTTATGGGGTTATGGGGTTATGGGGTTATGGGGTTATGGGGTTATGGGGTTATGGGGTTATGGGGTTATGGGGTTATGGGGTTATGGGGTTATGGGGTGGGGTTATAGGGTGATAGGGTTATAAGGTTATAGGGTTATGGGGTGGGGTTATAGGGTTATAGGGTGATAGGGTTATAGGGTTATAGGGTTATAGGGTTATAGGGCTTAGGGGGTGGAAGCTTGGCGTTTTAAGGGTTTTCGGGGCTACTTGTGGTCATGCCTCTCTTTTGCCACCTCCCCCGCTCGGCGAAGGGGGCGCAGCATGGCTTCCGCACTGGTTGGCGTCAGCAGGGGAAGCTGAACCCTAGACCCTAAACCCTAAACCCTAAACCCTAAACACTAGGGCCACTTCAGGTGCCAGGGCGTGCACTGGTGCAGGGAACTTGGATTAACAGTCCGCCGCTGTAGCTGGACGTCAAACTCCACAGATGAGGCTGTACAAGTCTCAAAACCTCCACACCATGAATCCTTAACCTGCTTGTAGGGTTTAGGGTTTCGGGTTTAGGGTTTAGGGCTTGAGCTTCCAGGGCGTCCTGCTCTTAGCAGTCAATACATATGGGGTTTGGAGGTTGCCAGACCTCACACGCATGGACTACGCGACTTGAGGCACCATCAGTCGAGGGTGTCCAAGAAATATTCATGGCCCAGTGATGCCTCACCTAGCACTCTTTTTGGCCAAAGCAGGCAAAGTACAAAAGTCTTCGAAAAAAAGGGAAGGCAAGGCCGAACAACCTTGTACAAATGTAGGGAACACAGGAAGCCATGGTGGGTGCTTTGCGTAACCCTTGACCGAGCGCCACCAAGACGTGGCACAGAAGGAAACAAAGGCAAACGCTTGCTTGTGCAGCTTCCTAGGAAATAAGGATGCTAAGAACCCTAAACCCTAAACCCTAAAGCAGGTTCAAGGATGCCTAGAACTCCTGTCTGACACCCAAAAACCATATAGCAGATCACATACCTAAACCCTTCCTGACCCTTTTTGCCGCCGGTCTATAGGGCCTAAATTCAGCAAAAACCTCTTGGAAACTGGCCCTAAACCTTAAACCCTAAACCCTAAGGCCCAAACCCCAAACCCGAAAACTTCACGACTGGATCATAGTCACGCCGCCCCTCTGTCTTGCGCAGGAACCGGGTGGTTTCAGCCTTGTGCAGCCCAAACACTTTCGGGGGTTCCTGGTCGAGTTTTTGTTCTGAAGGCCAGGGAGAGGGGGGGCTGCTCATAAAGCTCGACAGCAGGTCATAGAACTGATTCTTAGGGCTCCTTATGATCGCTTGTCAATGAGGGCTTTTTTTTAGGGTTTAGGGTGTCGAAGTGGCTCAGGCTCCAAAGGACCCGTAACCGTACACTGTTGAGGCACTGGCTGGTCGAATGAACCCATGGCGTTGGGATGTTCCCCCTTATACTAGCAGTCCTTAATAGGGATTATGGTCTCCCCTATTGTAATCCCTCTTAAGGACTGTTTGTATAAGGGGGGGACATCCCAACCATTGCGGTTGTGTCATGCACCGTACCAAAGCCAGCAGATGTGACGAAGCATCGACTTCCTATGTGGATGCCCAGGTTTAGGGTTTAGGGTTTGAAGGGTTTAGGGTTTTAGGGTTTAGAGTTTAGGGTATAGGGTGAGTCATCAAGTCATCCGATGCTTTCAAGTCAAAGGCAAGCCACCGCTTCACATCCTCCACGACCCCCGCCAAGGAGTGTGCAATCTGTCTCACCTAAGGGGAGATTGGACCAAGCACGGGAGCCCAGTGCCGACAACAGCACCGGTAGCATACACTGGCGTGACAGAAAAAACAAACAAACAAAAAACGCAACGACAGACGCACGGACGGACGGACAAACAGTCAGACAATCACAGACAGAGAGATAGAGCCACAGAGACAGATAGGGAAGCACAGAGAGACAGACAGGACAGACACAGACACACAGATAGGACTGGACAGACGGACAGACAGACAAATAAAGAGACACACACGCACACACACAAAAAAACAAACACACACACACACACACACATCCGCTGCCCTGAAGGAAAGCCCTGTCTTGATCCCAACCGCAGCCGGTCGGCTTGAAGTTGGTTGGGAGGCGAGTCATCCTCATCGCGAAGGATGGCGTCCTTGGCTTCCAGAAACCAGAAGGTTTAGGTTTTAGCCTGACCTCCACATGCACTGATCTCCCTATGGAGAACCCCCCCCCACCCCGTCCCGAAGCAGCGCTGGCCCCTGTCGCATACGCACTCTGACGTCCCTATGTCGAAGGTTTCCAGGGGGGGGGGGGGGGCACGGAGTTCCGCTTGCTCAGATTTGCCCTCGGTCTCGTGATGCGGCCGGAGCCTCGAATCTGGAGTAGTCCACGCTCCAAGGGCTCGGCTTGGAGGTCACGGCAGGCTCAGGTGGTACAGCTGTAGGTCCCAGGCCAGCACCCTGAGTGTGCGCAGTGCTTTGTGGCTTTTCTGTATAGGCTATTATACTCCTTGAGGGTGGCTGGGTGGCGGGTTGTGTCGGGAGTTCGCCAGGCCTCGGTGTAGGGTCGCAAGTCGACCGTTCTGTCTTGTAATGCAGTATGAGTGCCCAGGCTTGGTTCATAGCATGGGGTTCAAGGCTTCTTGCTTGGTCCAGCTCAGGAGGCACGCCCAAAGCCGGTGCCACAATCAAGGGAATAATGGAATCCACATTTTTGATTCTGGGTGTCAGGAGCTACGCGAGAGTTCCTGCCGTGGGGGTTGCGCTTACTGTCTTTTCACAGCAGCTGGGAGCGGGACTTTCACTGATCAGACCCATAAAAAAAACCTCACCCTACAAGTACGTCCTAAACCCCAACACAAAGGTTTGGGCCAGGAAACCCTCAACCCTTTTTGAACCAGGACTCTCTGACGTCAAACCCCTGAACCCTTCAAACCTTAACATTGGGGTCAACTCGAAACCACCCTGAAACCCCACACCTGAGCCCACTTCCAATTCCGCCCACCTCACGTGGATTGCAAAGCGGGGGGGGGGGGGACCGTAATAAACTGAAAGGGTTCTCGTATATTTTGCCATCCGAGATGGCATATGAAGGGGTTACCCACCCTGTAGGACACCCGCATCGAATTTTCCTACCAGGGGGAACAACAAAAGCTCCCCTGATTCTTGGAAGAAAAGCAACCAAACTGGTTGCGGATGTGCTCGTTGTATGTTGACACACGTTGCTCTGTTGGGATATGCTGTTCTTTCCAGCTACTTGTGCTAATGTCGTGGAGCGTGGAGCGAAACTATCGAGTTCCCTCAATGACAACCGCTGTTGTCTGGCTTTCCTTTCTGTGTGCCGGGTCGACTGCCGAAGTTGTTTAGGGAGCTTCTTCCCTTTCCCGCTTAACCTTGACAACATCCTACAGCAGTTTGGGACGATGGAATCCTGCACTGGCCTACACTTTGGCAGATAATTGCACATTGCCTCGAACACATCTTACTCGACTGAACATCTTCTTCGACTCTGATGCTGTGCGGCCAGGATGTGCTTTGGGGTCTTGGGTGGTATACTGTCTGTCTCACCTAGAGGAATCTTTAACCTAAGGGCTTGAACTTCCTGTTGGGTTTGGGTCCGTAAGGCAAAGGGAATAGACGTTTGGGGCGCTGAAAGGCTCAGAGCTTAAGTGCCGCTGGAGCAGCGCTGGCAGCAGAATCGCCTTCTGCTAGTGTCGCCTGCTTCTCCTCTTCCTCGATTTGCCTGCCCCAAGATGGGGGTTTTCCCAAATTAGGGGGTACCTTATTGGGGTCCTTCTGAATTATGAGGGAATCCTACTATTTGGGATCTATATGTAGAGGTCCTTTATTTTCGGAAATCCCCATATGTCTCAAGGCTACGGCCAAACTTGAGGTGGACCCACATTCCTCGACCCCAGGTTTTGAAGTGCGGTTTAGGGTTTAGGGTTTAGGGTTTAGAGTTTAGGGTTTAGGGTTTAGGATGTTAAGTTCCAGTGTCGGTCAATACTTCTTCGGGCCTGTGGGGACTTCGGGCTTGGCAGCCAGCCAAGTTAAGTCACTCGAAGGCCAGGTCAAAATCGACGCAACTCTGCACTCTGTGGCATCAGCATGGGGAAGGAGATCGGCTTCACCAGCTAAACTACTCATTGCTGAGACAAAACATATTATTCCTTATTAAGGGTAGTATAGGGATTATTGTCTTTTATTTGTTTTTTTCTTCTGGGGTTCTTAAGGTAGTAGTAGTAGTAGTAGTAGTAGTAGTAGTAGTAGTAGTAGTAGTAGTAGTAGTAGTAGTAGTACATGAAGAGCTCCATTGTGTTCATTGGGCTTCTTGGGCATGAAATTGTTTGTGCAGCGTGTCGCAGGAATACGCTGCGGGGCGAAGGCTCACGGCATCCGTGTCGGTTTAGGGTTTAGGGTTTAGGGTTCAGGGTTCAGGGTTTGGGGTTTAGGGTTTAGGGTTTCGGGTTTCGGGCTTAGGGTTTAGGGTGGTGTAGGGTCTGTAGGGTGTCGACTCCCACGAGATCACGACTCAGGGTGATAAGCACAACACGTAGATCATGACAACTGGCTCGAATGACACCACCTGCTCAAAATATTCTCCGCTACTTCACCATCTCGCAAGCAGACATAATCATAATCAACAACATACGACGATCACATCCACTCACGCATCACCATGGAGGACTCGACAGGCGGAAGCTACTCCCTCGCCACCCGGCAACATCCAAACAGAATGAGTAACAGAATATACATGAGACCAGGTCAACAACCGGTAGCGAGACCTCCGGATTGACAAGACAAAGTGAAACCTAGGGTTTAGGTTTTAGTTAGGGCCTAGGGCTTGGGAGTCAGCTCCAACACAGCCGCAATGCACCCACCAGTTAGAGACGGTTCTCTGGGATGTGACGCCCCCGAACCACGCTAGAAAGCAATACCCTTACTCACAAAGACTCGCGCATCCTTTGCTTACAAACTTTATAAACCCTACCCTAAACCCTAAACCCTAAACCCTACAAACCTTAAACTCATTTGCAGCCCGAACTCCGCCTCGCGATCTTGTCAGCCAGGTCCACGCACAGCTCGTCCGCACGCATCTCAAGGACCTTGCGCCGTGGCTTTCCGTCCCCGGCTAGGGTTTAATCGCTCACACTCGGACAAGCCAGGCGAGGCAAACACGGTTCATGAATCTTGCGGCTAGGGTTCAGGGTTTAGGGTTTATAGGGTTTTTTTTTGCCACCCGCCTAGCAGACCCCCTCTGGGATCACTCCGCAGGGAACACTCGTGGTTATGTGAGTTCTTGTCAGACCGCAAAAAGGGTCCCGAGGCATCCCATCTCCCCCTACAACTCCCTCACTCCAAGCAACAACTGCAAATTACAGGCAGTACCAATGAGGAGCGAAGAAGTTCAGGGGGATGCTTCCAGACCAGGTTCTTCAGGTCACTCAAGGCACTGCTTATTAAGCAGTGTGTGTCCTGGAACCCCCAAATTGAAACATCTCCAAAACGCTGGCCGAGGCTCTCTGTCCTAAACTTTTCTTTCTCTTACCCCGGAAGCCGTGATATGCCTCATTCTGTTCATGATAGAGGTCTATCACGGCCCTCATGAGGGGGTCTACAGCTTCTGTCAGAACTGAAAATTCGGCAGGCTGAAGATCAAATGATCTCGGCTTATTCTCCCGCTCTGGGAAAATGGTGTCGACAATTGTAGTTCTGTGAAGCTCCTCTTCAGGACAGCTTGGATTTGCGCAAGTCTTTCTTGTTCCAATATTGGTCGCATACTGCAGAGGCAGATCTTACGGAGTCTCTTTTGAAACTCCTTTGTTTCCGCCAGGTGTTTGCACAGCCTATTCCTCAAGTGTCCCCGGGCTGAAATCTTTGACTCCTTCATATAAGGGGGCGTTGGCTCATCATCAGCCAAATCAGCCTGCACCATCATAATGGTCTCTCGGGCAACGCCGCCCATTTTCCGGGAGAACCTTAGCGTTGCGGACGTTTTTGGGGTGAAGCCAAATCCAGACCGCGCACTTGGCTAGAAATTCTGCCATCTCGAACGGACCATGGCAGAGTCCGGCGTCCTCAATCTCTGATTTCTGCTTGAGCACATCGGGCAGATCTTTCAGAGGTATGCCCCGTGTGCGGTGGAGGACATGCTTCAAAAAGACATCATATGGGGACTCGACGCCAAGCGTCTGTGTACGATGTCTCGACTTCTCTTATAAGATCCCCATATGGGTGTGGCTTATAGAAGCTCTCTGCTTTCTTTGGGTCTATGTCTTCTTTGTGGAGAATGATGCGTGGATCAGTCTCAACTGCGCGACCTAGCCGAGACATAAGGACATTGGCATCTAAGTCGGACGTTCCACGCAGTGAATCCGACAATGCTGTGTCCACGAGTGCCTTTAAACTCAGCTGATGCGATGTTGCCATCATTCACAAACTGAGCAATAAAGGCCACTCGAGCTTCTAAAAGAGCCTCACGGAGCAGGGGAGAGTCTATCAGATCGAGGCCGATCGCGGTAGCCTGGAGAACCCTGTGAAATGCCTGCCACTGTTGGCGGACATTCGCAACGGGAAAAATTGAATGCAGATTTCTGGAGAAAACAGATAGTGAAGCAAATTGAGACCTGAAGTTTTTAAGGCAAATGTTTCAAGACACAATCAACACACACGGAGGGAAACCAAAAAAATTAAACCAAAACAAAAGAATCTGAGAAAACCAAAAACTTGAAACCAAAAAAGTGTCTCAACACCACTGTTGGCAGGAAACCAAAATTTTGAACTTGAAAAAGGGTGTTCCAAAGACCAGCTTGACAGACAATCAAAAACTACCAAAGGCCAAAAAAAACATTTTGGCGCGCAACAAAAAAAGCTGGTTGAGGCAAAATCTGAGAAGCAAATTTGTCTATCCAGTTTATCCGACCGGCGCTCAATAGCATCCAAGACGCATTTCCATTGACTCCAGGGCTTGTCACCGTCCAGCAACTCTATTATTAGTTCATGGGCAAGTCCATCGCACTCCGGACACTGTCTGGTCCTTCCAAAAAGGAAGGCTTTAAGACGGCGTTCTGTGGTGACTAGAAGGAGACTGCCTTCTCCGTCTAACGAAGCAAAGACACTTCTGCGGAAGCCGCGATTCTTGGAGAGCAATTCAGGGGCTATTAGCCCCGTCAGCTTCATGCACCAGCGTCCCATAAACACCTTTTGGGTGTCAGCGGTGACCAGTGCCATGTAGGGTCCGTCTTCTAGCGCATTGGCTAGTTGCTCTCGTTCCCTACATGCTATGTGCTCACATCTTGGAAAACAAGGAGGCTTGGGATTTGCTCTTTGAGCCAATTGCGAGTCTGAGCTGGCGCACTGGCCCATGGGAGGACGCCCGAGAGAACACATGTGAGTTCACTCTTCGCGGCGCCTTCCCAACAAGCCTTCAAAACGGCATATGCCGTGGAATCGCTATCTTCGGCTTTAAAGCCAGGCATGCGATTGCTGATGTGGTTATCGTTATGGGTCGCGCGATGCGGTAGCCGAGATCTCGAAACCCCCACTCCTGCAAGTAGATCGCAGCTAGATCTAACATGCTCTCAGGGCGTGTCATCTCGCTGATCGTCCCACCGTCCTCATCTCCAGCCTCCACCCGATACAACGGGACGTTCCTCTCGAAAGGGCCAAACTCAAACCCACCAACATGGAGCACATAGCCCCGTTGGAGTACAATGCCACTTTTGTCATGCACTATCTCGGAGCGGGTTTTGTGACTTATCGAGAGCGCAGAAGATGAGGCTATGCTGGAGGGCGCCACCATGGTGTATGAGCCATATTTCGTCAAGGGCCACACACCGTTGCGGGCGATCACCGCATTTCTTAAATCGAGGTGATGAATTTTGATACCCGACTTCGCTGAGATATCTTCTCCGCAAGCCACGGAATTGTGTAGGCCGTGCGTGCAGGAGACGATGACTATGAAGCCTTGCTCGAGGAAATTCAACGCCTCTCTGATGCATCCCGCGCCTTTTCATTCCCCAAAATGCGGAGAGAAAGGTCAGGATTGAGGCGAGTATTGCCTCGTGCCAATGCCAGAGCTTCCGGATTGTGCAATTTCCGGACGTCAACTACACGGACATTCTTCACCTTGACAAGTCGAGCCGCACTGGCCCGATTGCCGGAGAAGAGGCGTCCCGTGTCATGCCTTGTGACAAAACAAATGGGGGGTGCGCGCGAGTCGCGGCACCAGCGGAGCAAGCCTTTGTGAACTCCACAACCAAAAAACTTGAGCCATTTGTTTATAGGGTTTAGGGTTTAGGGGGTTTGGGGTGTTGGGGCTTGGGGGATAGGGCTTATACTTTGTGGGAAGTGGTGCAGAACCCCGTGTGCCATAACCACGCCAAAGGCCAAGGTCCTTTTTCAAAATTCAGCCGCGCCCGCGCACGATTTGGCCTTTCTCAAACACCGTAAGCTTATAGGATTCTTAAGAGAGGGGGTCCAAGGGGGGTAGGTAAATCAAGGTACTCCCTCAGCTTCCATAAGGTTCCCTAGGTTCCTACGCCCCTTGAACCCCCCTGAAGAACCCTATAATAAGCCCTAATCCCTCTCAAGCCTAAATCCCAAACCCAAAAAGGTTTGGGCAAGGGAGAAGGCTGCCTGATGAACAAGCGAAGCCCGGATCGTAAAGCGAAAGCCCAGAAAGACTCTAAGAACCCTGGGAACAAACACCCTAAAAACCCTTAGAAACCACAACAACACCCGACACACCCTAAACCCCTGCAAGCTCTAACCCGTCTCGTGTGTTTCCGGTCATGAGGGGTATGTCCCTTTTTGGGGCTTCGCTTTGGGAGTTCTGCTTATATTTGGAGCATAAAAGGGCCATCGCTACCTTGGGAAATGCCTATCTGCTTCGGCCCCCGACCCCGCGCGCCGGACTGCCCCTTGCTCGCTCGTAGAGGCGGCCGGCTGCGTGGGCCTTCGCGCACGCTGTGGGACTATCTGCATCTAAAACCCTTCCATGCTTGCACCTCCCTTCCCTTGCATCAACCCTGCAAGGTCTAGGGGCTTTAGGCTTGGAGTCTTGCCCTTGACTGGGCCCTGCGGCGGACAAGTGCTTCTACGCTTCTACAAGGTTCACGGTCTCTTCTGTTCACGCGGCGGCGGCGGCATTTTTCGGAAAGGAAGCTCGCGAGAGCAGCGCGCTGCGGCTCATTCTCGCTATTGCTTGGAGGTTCATGGTACTTATGAACCATTTATCACTGTACTTGCCATCTTGGGGCACTTAAGGGGCTTATCAGTGGGTTATAAGTAGAGTAATAATTGGTTAATAAGTACCATGAACCTCCAAGTGTCCCAGGGGGGCAGCTCGAGGTGGCTCTAAGATTCCCTCAGACACCGTGGCTCATACTTGGAATCTGATAGACTTCGTGTTATAAAACCCTGAACCATCAACCGGATGATCATGGGTTATGGGTTTAGGGTTTAGGGTTTGGGGTTTAGTTTTTAGGGTTTAGGGTTCATCATGCCCACTGCCCAAGTGAAGACGACAGCAAGTCCATCCATACATGCATGCCTGCCCGATGATCTTCTCGCGCGTCAGTACCATGGCTATGTCCCGAAGGCCACGACAGGAAAAACTATTATTGCAGATCTTATATTACGATATTTGACACCACGAGTATCTTGTAATACACGTTTATACTAGTATTATTGTTATTGTTCTGGTTATTCTGCCCACAACTCCAAGCGATCTTATGGACTCCGGGTTTGCAGGTGGCTTGCAAACGGGCACGTTGCTTCTTGGTTCCAATGGCAAAACTTCGCCAGAACTCATTAAAAATCATCATAGAACCCTGGCATGTGCGTGTTGGCTGCTTTTTTTGTCGATATTCCCTACCCCGGAATGTCTGACGATTCCGTTCGGACCCCTGCTTTGAGAGCTGACCCCTGCCAACCGAAACCACGCGGCCGCCAATTCATGCTTATATGGACTACAGTAAGGTTTATGTGAGTGGGACTAAGAATACTCGAACCATGCAGAATAAAGCAAATGGGAGAAAAGGCCCCTTGTGCCGCTATGCCTGGTGCAGCGCCCATGGCAAGTATGGGCCCGCCTAGTCTGAGCTCTTAGTTTTTGGTATCTTATATACCCACCCACATAGACCTTTCGGGTTCCTACAATCTCCCCGAGGCGAGGAAGCAACATGCACCCTTGGCTACGTGCGCCAAATTTGAGGCTCTATCGCTGTACCTTCAGATCCCCTGACCTACATACTTCAATGTTATACTGTTAGACTCTTCAAATTTCCTGATCGGATTCCTAGGCAGAAATTGGGAAATGCGGCCGGCCGGACGCTCGCCACGCCACGCTCTTTCGCTAGGAGCTCCTGCGTTCATCTCTTGGGGGAGGGGCGAAGTGTCACAACAGCCAATGCTTCAAAAGAGATTGCACAGCAGCTGTGGATCGGAACCCCGTGAAAGAATCACATGGAGCCCGACCAAAATGCATGCTAAACGCTAATAGGAGCCTCAGTTAAACCCTGTGAATTGGGATGTTCACCCTTATACTAGCAGTCCTTAAATCGGGATGATAGCACCCCCTAGCAGGATCCCTATTCAGGACTGTAGCATAAGGGGGAACATCCCCACCGATGGAGCCAACTCTTCTGGGAGCCCCCCCGAGCTCCCCTGGTCCTCGCAGAGTTGTCACTGCTTGTCCGACTCGGGGCCTAAGAAGAGATTCCTCCATGCCGACACGACTCATAGGCGGTTTCGGGCTTAGGGTTATGACAACCCTAAACCCTAAACCCTAAACCCTAAACCTGACACCCCTACATCCAAAGGCCCAGACATTCAGTCATATAGGGGGCTTAACATACTTAGAATAGGGCTTTGGGGGTTGTTATGGTACATTTATAAAGGGACCATAAGTAAGTAAATACGATTACTGTAGCAAATGGTTTCGACCCCTAAAGTACCTTCCGTCCCCAAAAGGCTGACGACTGTGGGACTGTTGGCGTGCTCCTGATTGGGCTGAACTCGTCTGCTGGTCTAGGAACTGCTTAAGAATCCCCAACAATAAAAGTATTCTACCTTATTACGGGCAATATAGGGATTGTGATTTTACATTCTTTTGGAGTTCTTAAGCAAATATTAGTGGTCTGCCCTGCGATAGGAGAAACAGACTAAGGCGGGCACTGGTCAGCTTGATGATCCATGCCTCTGCGGCCGGGAAAGCCTCCAGCCTTACGTCTTTGCACTCGCATCCCCGAATTTCCCGACATGCCCAGAGGGCCCAAAACCCGAACGAGGCAAGGATGTCCATCCGTAAGGAACACTGACTGCGCACCCTGGGTAGCCTGAGCAAAGAGTGCAAGCGAACCTTTCGTCCTGGCAGAAGCTGCCAGTGCATGGGTCGTGCGTGGGGAGCTGGGCATTGTAACCCGCCGTGCTGCTGTCCACGAGAACAGGTGGGTCGTGAACCCTAAACCCTCAACCCTCAACCCTAAACCCTAAACCTATGTCGCGACTAAGGCTAAGGGCTACACAGCCCAGATGGTTCATGCCATCCCTACCTTGCCCCTCATTTGGTGATGGTGGGAGCGCTTAGAAACGACCAGCCTTCAATACGCTGAAGGTTTATAGGGCTTGAGGGTTAGGGCTTAGGGTTTAAACCCTAAACTAAACCCTAAACCCTACACCCTATAGGGTTCAGGGTTTAGGTTTAGGGTCGAAGCACAGCTTGGGTCGGCACAAAGAGGTGCGAGACGCCATCTCCTCAGACCGCCCCCCAAGAAAGCTGAATCATTGCCCCTTAGCTCAGGTTTAGGGTTTAGGGTTAAGGAAGACTCCTTGAATCATCTTGGGCGCCCTGTCGCCCTAGCCCTAAACCCTAAACTTGGGGGGGTGGGGGGGTGGGGGGGGGGGGGTGGTGGGACTTCGCAGGTCTGAATGTTCGCGCGTTTGTTTGAAACCAAACATCCCAAGCCCCACACCCGAAGCCCCCGAAGCCCGACCTTGCATTTGCAGGCTTCGAAACAAAGAAAGAGCCCAAGCCCTATGCACTTTGCCCTAACCCCTTTTTTCCGCAGCAGGGTGAGGAGTCCACAGCCCCTAAACCCTCAAGCCTAAACCCTGAAAAAAGGGCGCAAGAATCCACCCTGGGCGGGCTCTTTCGTCTTGCAGGCCGATCTTGTGCAACTAGGGGCTGAGTGTTCTTGGGAAGGCGCAGGTCGAAAAGATAGTTCAGGGTTCAGGGCTCAGGGGTTTGCAAACCCAACTGCAACACTAGTGCCTCAATTTCGGGCCCATCACTCTAGAACCCGCAATGAAAGGCCTTTCCCTCTAAAAGCACCACCTTAAGAACCCCCAAATCTTATAAAGTCCCTCTTGACTACACCCTAAACCCTAAACCCGAATCCCTGTACCGCTGACTCCACGACATGACCCAAGGGGCAAAGTGCTCGAACTCAAAGGCCGGACCGCAGGTGCAGCCTGCGACTCAGGCGGCGAGGGCAAGCGTCGGGCTTCTGGACTTTTGGGTTGTTTAGGGTTTAGGGTTTAGGGTTTAGGGTTTAGGGTTTAGGGTTTCGACTCTCACACGTTTAAGGGTTCAGGGTTCAGGGTTTTGTCGTTTACAGATTAGGGTTTTGGGGTGTTGGGTTAAGGGTTTGTGGGTTTTGGGGTTCAGGGCTTTGGATTCCAGGTTTAGGGTCTTGGGGTTGTGGGGTTCAGGGTTTAGGGTTTCCGGGTATAGGGTATTGGGGTTTAGAGCCTGGGTTTGGGGCCTGCCTCCTGCGCAGTGCTTAGGCTCTCTTGAAATACAGGCCTTGGCCGGAAAGGTAGTTAGAGGGTTCAGCCGGGGTTCAGTGCTCTGAGCTCGTATCCCAAGCCCTGGTTTCAGGGTTAAGGGTCCTTGCCCGGTCTCCTCCTACATACCCGAGCCACAAAGCTCCAGCCCCATCCCCTGTAGCACACCTGGGTTGTTCTCGGAACCCTGCACCCTAAACCAGTAAACTATGAATTTAACCCTGTAACAACCCTTTTTGCAACAGGCTTTTTCCCTAAACCGGAACCCAAGAAACCAATTCGGCCCGACTGTCACCCCAAGCCCTAAACCCTAAACCTGTTTGGAAAAGGCGTGGTTAGAGACTTCACTCTTAGGGGTTTCGGTTGATTAGGGTTTTTCTCTAGGGTTAAACAAAAGTTGTTTAGGGTTTAGGGTTTGTACAGGTTGTTCAGGCGATTGTTGCTTGAGGGTTTAGGGGTTTTAGGTTGTTTAAGGCTTCGACTTTAAGGGGTTCCACTGGTTCAACGGTGCATTCTACAGACCCGGCACCTACAAAATCCGAGTTGTGGGTTTGCAAAGGCTCAAGTCCCAGAACGCGAGGCCCTGAACCCCCAAGGCCCAACAAACACTAAAGACCTAAACCCTAGACCCTAAGCCCTACACCCTAAACCCTTTTTTGACTCGGGGAGCTGAAGCCGAAACCCTAAACCCCAAACCCTGCTCAGAGGGCCAGGCCGACCAAACTGAGCTGGCCCTCTGGGAAGGCTCCGAACCTGGCCACGAAGCGCTTTAGCGGCATGTGCGTTGCGGTGGCAGAGGTATCAGGGGTTTAGGGTAGGGTTTAGGGTTCAGGGTTCAGGGTTTAGTGTTTAGGTTTTGATGGTCTAAGCCGGTATGAGACCTGAGCCTTAAACACACAGGGGGCGGGGGGGGGGGACTTGCCTATAACTGGGGGACCAAACAGAGAATCTCTGTAATCAACCCGAGGGGGATTGTAACCTACACTCTAAACCCTAAACCCGACTGAAAGGGGACGATGCTCGGCCTGGCGACCACAGGGTTTTAAAGTTGAAGGGTGTCCAGGTCTTGCCTTCGGTCCCAGATCTTCCAAAAAAAACCCTTAAACTAAAAGGAATAGTAACCCATCGGAATACAAAGGGTACGATCTGTTGGTTCAAAGGGGCTTCTATGGCAACCTACACCCTAGAAAAAGGGGAAGACGTGAGGATGCAGCTCGTTTGCCTTTCGGGGTCGAGAGGGTCGAGGGACGCGCCAGCTGATGGGAAACTGAGCAGTCTAGCCCTAACCCCCCCTTGGTTCTATGAGGGAGTTCCGGGCCGATATATACCCTTTGAGGGATTACATCGGGTACGTCATTCCGTCATTCCCTGCTAAGAACAAGCCAGTATCTAACCTGTCCGAAGCCACTTCCTTGATGCTGCTGCAGCCGAATCATGAACCCAAAGCCCTCGTAACCAGAAACCCTAAACCCTTCTCACAGCAGCTTGGTTGCAAATCTAAACCCTAAAACAAAATTTAAACCCTAAACCCTAAAACCCAAACCCTAAACCCCGTTGAAGTCGTGCAGGGCTGTGCCATGTGCCCGACTTCACCGTGTACTGTGGGCCTCAGTCTTCGGCGTGGCTTGGGCAGGGTCCCTTTGTGGCCTCTCCTTCAGAAGACTGGCGGGTTCTTAGTAGGGGAATGAGAGAATGAGGGAATAATGAGGCAAACTAGGTAATCCCTTAAAGGGTATATAAAGGACGGTGTTGCTGCCCTCCGTTGCTGAGAAGCTGTTGAACCCGAAGCTTCGCGAC